GGGGGGGGGGGGGGGGGGGGGGGGGGGGGGGGGGTGAAGTCACTGATTGGATCTCCAAATATAATTTTCCATTAGAGCTCAGCCCAGAGGCTGCTTCATTGAGAAAACGTAATGATTCCAGTCATTAACTTTGAAGTGATTTTCCAATGTCTGTAACTGTAGTCAGCCCACTCCTTTTGATTTTTACATGGACTAGCAGCATCCTTACGCAACAAGTTGGCTTCAAAGAGCTACTCACAGAGAAAACCGGATTGTTTAATCATTAGTGGATTAGATTGCTGTAAGTCTATGTCTCACGCTGAAAATAGTGTAACAGGAAAAACATTTGAAGAATAAAGAGCAACTTTAAAAAAAAAAAAAAAGGTTTAATGTATGATGTGGCCGTGTGTTACATAATCTTACTGTCCAAGTCACAATTTGTGCGAGATTTGTGTGCGCGATATGATTTTGATAATGTGAAGTAAACTAAGCCAAACTAAAAGTCTACAGATGAGCTAGCATTAGCATCTCTACAAGGCTGCACTAAGAGCAGTGCTTTGAACTGCATGCCAACATCAGCGTGCTAATACGCTACCAGGTAAAATGTTCACCATGTTCACCATTTCAGTTTAGCCTATTAGCATGCTCACAGCTGCTTACTGGCAGTAAACACGAAGTGCAGCTGAATGACGGGAATGTCATTCGTTCTCCAGGTATTTGATTATAAATGTAAATATTAAACGAGTGCAATAAACAACCTTATGGTGGCACGAGAGGAAATTTCAAAGGATCAACTGGGATTCTTTCTCTGGGCCAGTCTGGACCGATTGCAGTTTAGGTTAGAACAAACAAACAGTTTATTCTCTCCTCTAAATGCAGTGTATCAACGCTACTGCAGCCACATGCTGCGTTAACATGGAGAGAATAAAGCCTGCTGAGCCTAGAGACAGTTGCTAAGCTGTGATTGGACAATGTGTGTTGGAGGGAGGGGTTTAATACTTGAAACAACTTGTCACTGTACTTTACCTCTGGCACCATGTCTGACTTTGATGTTTCTATATGTTTATCCTTCATCACTGTTCGTTGTATTTCCTATACGACTGTAGGTCACTATAGAAGATCAGATTAACATTACCCGACACAAACACAAAGACTCTATACAGTAGATAGATTTCCATAATGAACAAAGCAAGAGTGTGACAGCTCTGAGCTCATATAAGACCCTAATTTAAATCGTTGCCATGTCAGCTTCACAGCAGTCAGTGACTCCATGTTACACCACAAGCTCTTGGAGCAGCTCAATGAATAATTCACTACCTTTAAAAAAAGGGGAAGGAGATTCCTCGCCAACACAATTTTGGGAATTTAATTTGAACATCCTGAGCTGTCAGTTTGATAGAGAGAGACACAACAGCTGTGACAAACAGCTTCTCGCTGACTTTGAAGATAACGATCGTCCTCAATGAGCCAGTTTTTAATGAACAGGAGGCAGAAAGCAGGTCAAACCTCCCACAATCCTCTCTGCTGCATCTTGGCCTCGTTTGCAATTCCGATTGAGTGTTGTTGATGATGATGATGCCACTAATCGCTTACGATTAGAAAAATCACAGCAGAGACGGAGTGAGCCGTCACGCTGGGATCTTCTCCCAGATAAACAGACACAGAGAGCAGCATTTGAGGAACCGGCTGGGTTTGAACTCAAAGTTTCAGTTAAACTGAATCTTCAGTCAATTCCTCTGACAGCACGAGCTCTGAGGTGTAACTAGTTAACAACCTGTTGCATAAATTTAAGACAACTGTTGCTTACGGTTTGTTTTCATGACAATTTGCAGTCGACAAAGTGTTTTTAAATTTGTCGTAAGTTTGTTGGGTAAAAGATTGTGTTATCGCTCAAATAACCTTGAATATTGTTTTTTATGCACACAGACAAGCATAGATGCATGTACATAAGTAATCTAGGTCAAAACGTGTGAAACAAAAACCTCATCCTAGTTTTCTATCACTTTTTTGCGTCTTCTGAGATGTGTTTGTAATGTACAACATTGGTTTTGGTCACTATAAATTATATAAAGCAAGATATATACAGTATAATTAACACAAGGGTAGTTGAAGCCTACTGTACTATTAACAATTGCTGCTCTTCTTGTAAGCTTTAACCTCCAAACACCTCCAGAAAAGTATAAATCGCCTTCTTTTTCATTTGTGTTGCTAAATAAGCAGACGCATGCAACGGAAACCAAATCCACTTTGCATGTGAACAAACTGCTGAGAAGTGGCCTCAAGTGTGATCCCACCGGCTTTGAAAGAGGCCGGACTGTGGGTGCTATGAGGGTGACTATGAGCATCACCGAGAACGCACACGTCTCGTCTCTCAACGACAAAACAACACAATGCACCAAATCCAACTGTTTGCTGAGTAAAGCTGGTCCTTGGTAGAGAAACAATGATAGCCTGTGGCATATAATGAGACGTTATCGAACACCAAACTATGAGTGAACTTGTATAAAGCAATAATAATAATCTTCTCCAGACATTTTCTTTACAGTATGTGTATAAAACCTCCTTTTACTCTGTACTTATATATAACTTTATTACTCTACTAGAGCTAAAACGATTAGTTGATTAATTGACTGAAAATAAATGAGCAACCATTGAGATAATCTAGTAAATAATTCCAATAAATCACTAGTTCCAGCATCTCAAATGTGAATATTTGCTGGTTTGTTTGGTCTTTTATGTTAATAAACTGAATATCTTTGGGGTTTGAAATGACAATGACAATAACAAGAACTTTGAAGACACCACCTTGGACTGAGAAAAACTGGGATGGACAGTTTTCACGATGTATTGATGTTTTGTAGACCACGCGATACATAAATGATATATCGTCTCTGCTGCAGTGACGAATACAGCCACAAATCAGGTATTTCGTCATTGCCAGACTCCTGTGCCGAGAAATGATACAAATTGACTGGCATTGCCTCCGTGGTGTAAAAAAAAGAGAAGATATCTGAGGGAGGTGACAAACCATATGGACTGACTGAAAAAACACTTGTAATACACATCTGCAGTTGCACTGGGACACACACACAATAAGGCATTTGTACCAAATTACCAGTTTAGTGCTGCTCCCCTGAGGAGGGCTCCAGGCCAACGCAGGAGCCAATCCATAACCTTTCCTTCATAACCAGACCATCATTGACTGTAATTGGTGCATTTCCTCCACAGAAACCCAAAGCCAGTGGACTGACACACACACACACACACACACACACACACACACACACACACAC